GCGTGTTTATAGACGATGTTGATGTGCCCAACCGAGGCCAATTGTCCCTCCCTGGGGCGAGGCGGACGCACTTTTGTCCGCTCATTGCTCTTAAGCACCCGCGGTGCTGCACCGGATAGCCATCACCAGCTAGTCTAGTGCTCACTGCATCTCCTCTGCTTACCGCTCACTCTCCGTTACTCGCGTTTACCGCACACTTGACCAGGACAAGTCCTATCTGTAGCCCTATCCAGCATCTCGACTTCGACTTCAACTCGACCATTCCGTGTTTTGAATCGGGTTTTAGAACCACTCACGCCTGTTTTAGTTCTTGTGAGCATTTCGATATTGTTTCAGCTGCATTCTGAGCCCGATATTCATCGCATCTGCCAGACGTCCCTCCTCCACGCCAGTCATCTAAAATCACATTCATGTCTGCTGCCTTTAACAACGACACCACCAACTCGGTCAACGCCCCCGCCCACGCCCACGCCCAAGCAGCACCAGCCTACGCGTTCCTCGCTTACCCGCCTCCGCAGAAGAAGCGCCCGACACAAGCCCTCCCATCGCCTCCTCCTGCGCCCAGACAGCCTTCCTGTGCGCCGTCCTACCCGCGGCGCCGCTCTGCCACCACCTCCGCCATCTCAGCGTGGGTTGCCGCAGTCCACCCGGGCTCGCCTGCCCCGCGCTCTCCGCGTCGTCGCTCGTCCATCTCCAGTGCTCGTCGCGTCTCGGGCGGTTCTCCCTGTCTCGCCTCCCGGCGTCCCTCCGTTTCCGGCAGTCCGCACTCGGCGTCGTTTCTCAGCTTCGCGGACACCCCGACCACCGCCTCGCGCCTTATCATCACTCCGTCTGTCAGGGACTTCAAGCCTGACCTGACCGCAGTCGGATATACGTCCGTATTTGTGCACTTCCCAGAAACCCCTTCTTCGGCTTCTCCCTTCACGAGCAAGACCCGCCCGCCTTCGACCAGTACCCGCCGCTCTCCCCCACGTTCCCCCTCCAGCCCCGTAAGACCCGTGAAGGGCCTGAAGTCTTTCCGCTCGCTTTCAGCTCTACGCCCTTCCCGCCGCGTCCGCTCCAAGTCTATCAACATGCGCGGCCCGCCGTCACCCGCCCTATCTATCTCCTTGAACGCGGAAAAGTCGCCCACGCAGTCCAAGGCGTCGCGTGCCCAGGCGAGCGCGTCCGTGAGTGCATCGAAGAAGTCCAAGTATGCGAAGTTCCGGCCCCCTCCGCTCGCGACAGAACTTGCCCTCGCGCAGCTCGCAGACGGCGGTTCGATCGAGGACCACATCAGGAGGTTCGCTGAGGCGCAGGCCAAGGCGGGCGGCGCCGCGGAGTTCACGCGTGACGGACGTCTAGTGGGCGTTTCGGACGTGTACCGCGATGGCGCCGGTGGCCTCTGGCGCGACCAGGACGAGGAGTGGGAGTACGCGCACCTGCTCGGCGGCGACGAAGAGTTCTGTGGGAGCGATGATGGCAGTTGGGTCCGCTTCAGCTCTCCGACGAAGACGCGTAAGCCTTCTCTGGTCGCCGTCGCAGAGGCGGACGGCGAGGTCCGCAGGGGCAGCGTCTCTAGCCAGGATTCCGACCTCGATCCGCGCTACGCAATGGGCGCTGAAGACGAGCGCGACGACCTCGCGGCGTTCGGTAGCGCCCTTGCTCCTGCCTGCGCCCGGCGGCCCGGCATGTCTGTCCTCGCAATCCCTGCGCGCACCCGGCGCACCGCGAAGCACCTGCGCAAGCCCGAGTTCCTCCTCGACGCGTTCCCCGTGCCCGGCGGCGCATATCCGCCCACCGCGGTTGCGGCCTCGCGGGCCGCGGAAAGGCAGCAGGCTCAGGCTAAGCAGCGCAGGCGGCCCGCGCCGCTCACGCTGACCCCTCCAAGCCCCGCGTTCAAGTGCCCGACGAACCCGCTGGACGCCGAGCGCGTGCGGGACGACTTCCTCGCGTCCTCGTTCGCGCCGGCACCTGCGTCTACCCCTGCCCCCACCCACGCACCACGCCGTGCGCACGCGGCGGCGCAGCCGCCCGCTTCTCCACTCCCTGTGCAACAGCCCGCGTCGATTACGACGAAGAAGGCCGCTGCGGGCTCGAAGCCAGTTGTCATGAGCGTGCGAGGGCTCTTCCGCGCCATGGGTGGCAAGAAGGGCGATCTCTAGACTGCTCGTGGGGAGTTCCCCGGCGGATTCGCCTCGGATATGAACCGTAAGAATGTGCTAGATGTGGGTTGTCTGGGATAATCGTGTTCTAGCCTGTATTTTGACGACCGTACGTGCTTCCGGATCTGACGTCTCATGCTTATCATGCCCACTCTGCGACGGCTGTATCTTTCCAAGTTTGTATGTTCTACTACTTTATGTATTATTCCATCTGTAATTTGTAACCCTTATTTTCGGATACCACCAACTATGTAGCCAACATTTCTGCAACTCTACTCGAATGTCGATCCGGCATTTTGTCATGACATCTGAATGCATTGGAACTTAAGCTTAGGCTTGGAGTCTCCGCTGCAAGACTAAGCACCGTGCAATTGTGGGTGGACAAACATGTGCAAACGCGTCAATCGCGTGTAAGCGCGACGCGTCTCGGCGAAAGCGGAACTAGAAGCCCAAGCCACTGACCACCAGCATTGCGCAGCTAGAACAGGCACCGACAACTCCATCCTCTCTCACAAGCGTAGCTAGTCAGAGGTACGGTAGCCATGGAGGTGAACTTGGAGCAGTTGCGGACAGCCGCGCTGGAATTCATCATGAAAGTCGCCAAATCCAACAAATTAGAGTAAGTACGGCGGCCAGCCACACTGGCCCTTCCCGTGCTCCTTCCTCGCGTTTTCTCACTGCTTCGTAGGGATTTCACCTACGGAACGTACCGCTCTGGCGTAGAACGGTCCATGAAGCTCCCGCGGGGTACTCTCGACGCGCGCGAGTACAAGACGGTGGTGAGCCAAGTCGCGAAGGATTACATGGTAGGCCCACTCTAGCTCTCGTACCCAAGGTACACTGGCCGAATTGCGCCACACAGAATGAAATAGAGGAACAGAATAAGTCTGCAGAGCAAGAGGCCAAAGCCCAGGAGGTGCCCGAAGCTGACGGCAGTCAGACTAAGCCTGACACCGAGGCGGGTCCCGCGAAGCCTGTCTCTAAGGTTGATCCCGTTAAGCCCGCCGTGGAGGACAGTTCCGTCAAGCCCTCCGCGGAGGGTGCTCCTTCCGACCTCGTTGTGAAGGATGACCCTATCAAGCCAACCACGGAGGGTGGGCCTGTCTCTGGAGTTGATCCCGCTAAGTCTTCCGCGAAGGATGATTCTTCCGAGCCCATCGTGGAGGATAACCCCGTCAAGCCCGCCGCGGGGGACAATCCTGTCGTGGAAGACGAATATGTCGACTCCGTCATGAAAGATAGCTTCGTGAAGCCTGTATCCGCTGCAAAGGACGTGCAGCCCGAGGACTCTGTAGCCACAGAGACCAAACCCGTGTCCAAGAAGTCCAAAAAACCCAAGGAAGCAGTGCGGTCTGTGGTAGGTCTTCAACGCGTAGATGTGGCTATTGGGGTGATTCGTTAACGTATGTGCAGTCGGTGGTTCCAGCTTCGGATGAGGAACCTAACAAGGTCCTGGACCCTCAGCCATCTGTCAAAAAGCCAAAGTCCCGGGTATCGGCTTCGGCGGGGAAGACGGAGAGAAAACGTGTTGCAAGCGAGCCGGAGGTAAGAACTGTTCTCCTTTGACTTACTCGTTCCGGCGACGTTCTTGACTCCGCTTTCAGGACTCCGACGACGAAGATCAACCCTCGGAACCCCCGTCCAAGCGTTTGAAGAAATCCACCATTTCAGAAGAACGACCGCAGTCTGCCTACCCGGATTCTTCCATGCCAGCGGATTTGGCCCGGCCAGAGTCCGCGCACGGCGACAACGATGACCCGGTCTGTCATTTTTCCCGATGATCTCACGTCCGATGCTGATCAGGGCGCCGACTCCCTGCAGAAGAGCGAATCGGAGATGTCGGTGCTTATCGACGAACCCCCGGTGCGGAAGCGGAAGAAGAAAGCTTATAACGAGGTGCGTGTGGGTCCATATGTGTCCAATCACGTTGTTTGACTTGGTCGAACAGAAATCGAAAGTCAGTTGCTCTTTTTCGGTCTAGGGGGTGTATTCACATGTTCGGCAGGATACGAAGACCAGCAAGAGGAAAAAGAAGGAGCCTGCGAAGGAGTTGAGCAAGGATGAGGAGACGATCAAGAGGCTCAAGGTCGGCAAATACACTGTTTGCGTCATCCTTATTGACGTTTCCTACTGCCGTATTGCAGTCTTTCGTTGTAGCTTGTGGCGTCCGAAAGGTCTGGTCTAAGGAATTCAAGGATCTCGACAAGCCCTCCGATCAAATCCGCCGGCTTAGACAAATGTTGACCGATCTGGGCATGACCGGGCGTACGAGTATGGAACAAGCAAAAGCCATCAAGGCGAAGCGCGAGTTCGAGCAGGAACTCGGTATGTTTCTCTTGCAGATGTACCGGCCTCTTCCTAGCCCAGAACACTGACCTTCCCCTCACCCGTGCAGAGGACGTACAAGAGTTTGCGAACAAGGTCAGCTCAGGACCGTCCAAACGCCGCCGAGATCAAAAGGACAACGAAGAAGATGTAGAGGAAGAGTCCGACATCGAGAGGGCACCCAAGCGACGTGTACGTTTTGAATGGATGCCGCCATTATGTTGTTCTGATCACCTCTCTAGACTGCTCGTCAGAGCATCATGGCTTTCTTAGGAGATGAGAGCGAGTGACCGGATCTCATGGATTCATATCGGGCGCGTGTTTGCTCTATTTTGGCGACTTGGCTCAAGGACAAGGGTTATCCCTAGTACGTATAATAGGACTGTAATAATATACTTCACGTTGCGCATAATAGCCCGTATCTGCGGCGCGCATGCTTCATACAGCGCAACATAGCGAACGGATGCCAACTTGGCCCATAAGCTGTACGTCGGCACGGCCGGTATTATCTCAGAACGCGATGCAAAATGACTCTCTGTCGGGGAGTCGAACCCCGCTTTCGCGCGATCATTTCAAATGACAAGCGCGTGTACTAACCGATATACTAACAGAGACTTGCTTAGTCTCAAGCTACGAGTAACTCAGCTGCTTGCCTATGCAACCTTTACAACGGACAACGACCCGTATCGCGCTGCAGTGAGAGCAAAGCAACGCATATACGCCAAAATCCCGAATATTTGGGACTTTGAGAAAAAGATAGAAGGAGCTTGTAGTGGGCAGCTATACCACCCTTACCTGCCTTGCACAAAGGGGCCTAGTCCATCATTCCACACTGCAGGTTTCTTCGTGTAGGGCCGCCATAGGCAATTCTAACCTCTGGAGAAGACGACGTACTCGGGTCGAAGACCGGTAGCGGCCTTATCCCCTTTTGCTTCAGGCCGCTTTCTTTCCCAAGTTGTCTCGGCGGAAAAAACGCGAGCCAGGGTATCGGGTCGCTATTGAACGAAACCGGGGTGCGACAAGAGCATTGGCCACGCTGCCGGTAGTGCGTCCTTCAGGGGTAGACGACGAGCACGCCAGTCGTTTGAGACGATCGGCGTATGAGCGTTGGATGAAGTTCGCCGAGGGGTCGCGGGCTGTAGCCAATGACCAGCCTCCTGACTCGATTCGCCGTCGGGCATGCGGGGAGGAGGCGCCGGAAAAGACAATCGTAGGAAGAGCGTGTGAGATTTGAAGAACACGCGGTGGGTTCGTGTCCATTACCCGGAATTAGCTCGTAATTTCAATGACCACGGTATGGACGTGCACCAGAATACAAGGCCAGGGTTGTAATTTCGAGCTTGTCGGAGGAGTCTTATGCCACGGCGAGAAGCTACGTGGATCATTGGGGATGCAGGAAGCGGGGGTAGACAAGGGTTCCTGGATGCTGCTCTGCCAACCAGATTTCGGGGGGGTTCTGCACGTTAGTATGTGAGTGACGGTGAAATTTCGAACAACCCGAGCTTGTTATGCTTCAGCGTCGATCAGCACCTGCAGAAAAATGCTTCAAGGTCCGTTGCAACGAGGTGGAGTACGCCGCGAATGACGCCGTCGAGCTCGAAGGTGTCCACTACTATGTGCAGCCTAGGCCCTTGAACCTAGCGTGTCACGTCGACTGGAATCGGAAGATGAGCCGGCGTAAGCACCTGTCGGAGGCAATTTGAAGGGTATGGGCACACGTACAAGGGCATTCATCTCAGCCTTCCTGATCCATCCGTGGCCCGAATCCTCCTCATGAGTTGCCTGCAGGAGAGAGCTTCTCCTTCGAGCTGCGGGGAGTCCAGTTTCATGAACAGCGCCGTCCTGAGCCGAAACACCGGTTCGGTGAACACAATCGAAGGTCTGGAGAGGGTTGCAGACCCTAGGTGGCAGCAAGGACAGCATTCAGTCGCCTGTGACGAGGGGGGAAGACTCCGAGGCTATGCCGCTGGCGTGGCGAGGGCGCGATGAGACAGGCATCTGATGGTCGAGGTGAGGGTAAGAACTGGCTGAAAACGTTGAGGATGGTGTGGCGACGGTAAACGACGTTGCTGGCGTTACGGCGGGAGTACAGTTGGAAGACGAGATTGCCGAATTCGGCGGCTCACCCGCAGCGAGTCCCACCTTTGCCAGTACGGCTTCACCGATACATCCGACCAGTACTAGCGACTTGAGCAGCCCCAACAGCGACTGAACTACTCGGCTCTTGCGAGATCATTCGTTTTTTCTTCCGTTACTGCGGGTTCGTAGCGGCAGGGGGCCACCGGCACAGTACTACACTGCGCCCGCCGCAAGAGCCTAGACCATTGTCATTGCACTGTTGTGAGCTCAAGGGCGCACAATACCATAAAATACTAGAGCCGTCACGGTACGCCAAGCTAAACCATTTGTTCATCGACGACATCGTTATAACCCGGAATGATTCCACTTCCCGCCAACACTCGTGGCGGGTAATCGGACATCTGCGTAGACACAGGAGAATGTGCCGCATTATGAGACCGAGAGGAACATATGCCGCTTGAGGGGGTGCGTAACGACCTCTTTCTTTCTCCCACGTGATGGTCCCATTTCCTCTCGAACATGACCCCTCGCGCGTTGCGGCAGCATACATTATGAACTTTGGGGCTCGCCCACGCATATTTTGCGTCGCCGAGCCCTACTGCCGAAAATTGATGCAGCAACATGGTAACTCTCTGACCCCCCCCCATACGACCTTGCTCTTATAAAATACACGATAGGCGGGTCACAGGTTACAGTCGTGCTGAAACTTCATCCAGTATTGGGAACTGCATACGCCAAGGCGTGTATCGAGACCCTGGAAAGCCACAATGGGCTTACTGTCTTCTCATCGATACTAAAGTTCTGCATCCATCATGCAAGAGCAATAAGCTCCCTCTCGGCGTTGGAGTTGGCCACCTAAGCAAATGGACTCGACTCGGGCCAGACATAAAACACCGCTCAAGACCATTTTAATCTCGCAGAGAGACGAGCAAGGGGGTTGGAAAGTGCTGCAACGACGGATGCTCCTGACTTCTTGGATGCGCATGAGAGGCCGTAGTTGGCAAGAGTTTCTTGAAGAGGGCTCATCCGGCGTTGCAGGAGTCGACGAATGTGCTTGTGTATCCGCGGTAACAACGCCTCGGAGATCTAACGCACCTGTGCCTGTTCATTTGCATGTGCACCCGTCTCGCTCCAGCCCCCGACAGGGAATCCAATGCAGAGTAAACGAGCATCGCATCGCAACGATAACACTGACGAACGTCAGCGTCGTCGTATGCAGTGCTTCCGTCACCAGCGTCATATGAGCGCGTACGAGAAACAGTAGGGGCGAAGAGGTGGTGCGCAAAGTTGTGAGCGGACAAGTCAGACGTGGCGGGAGCTTGCCGTCGTCGGCTCGACATGCCTATATGTGCCTTCTTCGAATTTTGGTAGGCATAAACCCCAGCTCGCCGTGGAAATGCATAGGGCTACACCAGGATTATCACGCACAATACGACGTAGGGTCCCAATAAAATCCGACGATTGAACCCTCCTCCTGAGTGACGAGATTCTCGACCTTCTAATTGCCGAACACACGGCGCCCTCTCGAAATGGGTGTCCGCGCCAGCTCCTCGGTCGCACACGCTGACTCCCAGGGACGCCTGCTGCATGCATGTTTGCCGGCATAGACTTCAGAACGCTCTAGGTCCAGGGTACGGCCACGGAATTCAACAAGACTCTCTCGCCTTCTATACGGGCGACTGCGGGAAGCCTGAACGCGGCGCTTGGAGCAGCTCGAACAATCCGTAGGCCTTCGACCCGCTTCGACCCCCTCCGACTCCATCGCTGACTTCCATCGCCGACTCCGACCCCGCATGTCCGCGCGGCGCTTGAAGACACTCCGATCCCGAAGCGAAGAGGTTGCGGCCGGTGTCTTGGCCGACATGCAGGCAAACTCTAGGTGAATAATGGGTGGGGCTTTGCCACGTCCACTCTCTCCTCGCCCTCGAGACGCAAACAACGTGCAAAAACGGCGAGCACGATTTTTTCAGCCCCCAGCCATGCGTCACCACACGAGGCCATTTGGCCACGATTTTGCGGAGTTTTAGCGCAGAAAACCCCCGCTGGCGATGCGCCACCTCAGTCTCTGCATTGAGCGTTGGATTCACCGCAGTCGAAGCAACGGTGCAAGGAAATTCCGCCGGTAGCCACGGGCCTTCTGACCTCAAGTCGAGGCAGAACTACGCAAATAATCCCGCATCCTGTTGGCCGCGCTAGACGCCGGACCAATGAATGTGCACTGCAGGGCCCGACGGCGACTTTAATTCAGACCACCGCCTTCCTTGTGATCTGGCTCTGCTAGAGAACCTGGGCGTAACTTTACTGTGTGACATAACGATCTCCGTGTACCTCCTTGATGCATGCGTGTATTTAAATAGTATATAGAAGCACCGGCAATGACCGGCCTCGCATCCGCCGGTTCCTCGGGACTTGGCTAAGTTGACTCCGTCGCACTTTCAATTTCCTATTATTGAACATCCCATATATGCGCCTAACTCGTGGCCATACAAAGATGGATGGATGAGACGTCGTAGTCGCTATTTGTACTAGTGTAGACTAGTGTACTTCACGACGATCGTCACCACCGTTTGCCGCAGACCCACATGCGGGCGTCTGATGCCCTTTACGGAACCGCCCCTGACGTTTTTGGCGAGGTTCTTCAGTCATAACGCCTCGTTTACGATCTTCGACGACAAAACCCCTTGAGTCTGACCAACGTGCTTCAAGCTTCACATGTTAGCAAGGAAGTAGGTCCGGCCCACAATCAGGGTCCACAGCCAGTACTCGGTAGCTAACTTTACCCGACGCTTGCAGATGGCGCTTTCGACGCACAAGACACAATCCGGTAGGCCCGGGTTGACGAGACCTTACCCCGTGCTCACCACAAGGACCTTCATGCAGGCTTTCTACTTCCGTCCATACATTCAGCACCCCCATTTTTCACGTAAGATACTCCGCGGCTATCTACTCCGCGTACTGACTTGCCTCGTGCCTAGACAGCAACCCAACCCCGCAACCCAGGCGAGCGTCGCCCAGAACTGGACGCGCTTGATCCTGTCATATGCACGACACAGGGGACTCTTCGTCCTCCGCGCGGAGGACGCGGATGCGCCTGGGGGCGACTGGGATGAGATCCTGCGCAACCCAAGGATCAACCGTACGTGATCAGCCCCCAAGCGCCGGGAGAGCCGATTCATGCTGAGCGAGAGAGGTTGACAGGACGGCTGCTCTCTTCCCACCTGAACGCGATACTCGTGGATATGGTGGATAAGGGCCACGCGGTCTACGAGCCTCCACGGCAGACTTCGTCTGTCCTGCTCTACTGGCGCTCCCCGGAGGAGTGGGCGCAGGTGCTCTACGACTGGGTGAGTTCGTACTATGTTCCACGTGCAGCTTTCGGCACTCATCCCGGCGACCTCTACACCCTTAGGCAAACTCAACAGGGCAGCTGAACACGATCTTGACGTTCTACGAGATCGTAGAGCCGCCTGTCCCCTCACCACTCTCAGGCATCCCGCTGCCGATCCTGCGGAAGGCGGTTGCGGTCCTGACGAAG